GACAACATATGTTCCATTCCGTCTTTAGAAGAAGAGATCAAAGTAGAATCATCCATAAACACCAAATTATTAATTTCTAAAACATCAAGAGAACAAGAATCTGATGAAACAGTACAGGAAGCTATTGGAGAAACCAAACGATAAGGGTCTTTCTTCTTATTTTTAAGAACTGTGAGTAGAGGGTCTAAATAAATAACCCATAAGAGTGGAGAAATAACTTCACCTTGGTCTATTCCTATTCTAACTCTATATGGCGGAGTAGGGCTATGTACAGTAATAACACGGTTAGAACGTGATATAAATAAAGAAAGTAAGAATTGAATAGCATTTTGTGGTAGGCGTAAGCGTTAGAAAGCAAATCACAACATGGATAAATCTACAGAATCAAATGCTTTTGAGATGTCTTGAGAAAGGATCCATAAAGGTTGTTTAGTGACTACTGAATCATAAATGATGGATTCCAGAGTGATAATATGATCACGGCAAGAACCTCCAGGTAAACCTGCGAAATTACCATCTTGGAGGACATGGTGGGAGGCAAGTAGAGGAGCAAGACAATTATAAAAAAGCTTAACCAAGGCCTTACGAATCACCTCCAATAAAGTAATAAAACGTGTATTTTTAAGTTGGCATTTCCATTCATGCGGTTTGGAAATAGGAAAGACAGTAGCTTGTCTCCATAAATCTGGAATATTAGCATCTGATAAACAGGCGCAAATTAAGTTAAAAAGAAGAGCAGAAGCAAAAGGTCCTAGGTGTTTCAACATCTCATACGAGATCATAGAAAGTCCTGGGGCTTTATCATTAGGCATGGAGGAAATCGTTGAAGACCATTCGTCAAGGATAGGAAGATCCATAAGTGAATCAAAAATAGATGGAGAGACATTGGTGAGTGGCGCATAAGCATTAGACCATTGTTCAGGCAAATCCTGTATGGAAGAAGGAGGAGTGGAGGTAATTGGAACGAAATTTTGGAAGTGTTCAATAACTTCCTGATCAATGGCATCTGGAAATGTCAATAAAGTAGGGTGTAGTGGATGGTCTACAAAAACTTGATCAAGGACAATTCGTCGTCTAGTTCGTAACAAAGCAGATTCAATAAAAGTAGAAATGTCATTGGTGAAATTATCATTCTGAGCATCAATTTTAGCTTGAATAGAAGAAGCTTGGAATTCTTTTTCATTAAACAAAAGAAGGCTTCGCAAAAGCAAAGTCATATTTTTTAATGTTTGAAGTAAATTAGCAAAATTATCAATTCGTTCATCTCGAAGAAAAGGAGGAAGAATAATAGGCGTGACAAAAGTATGTTTATAAAAGGATAGGAGATTATAAAAGCGTATATAATATGAAGACCACTTGGTTTCATAATGAATAGAATACACAGGTCGAAAAGTGAAAAATCAGGCATCAATCACCAATCGGTCACTAATCAGG